GGATTAGCCCCGGAACCCTCAGATCTTCGGCATACATTTCTCGGTCATATAATATCTAGAAGATCTAATTCATGACTGACAGTTTAGAGAAATATGTTGCATTAGTCAAGCTCTTTTAATTTCAAGCCACTGAAACACACATCAAAATAGCTTAAGCCAAAAAGAGGAATATATACAGGCTCGTGGAGTCAAACCAAGATTGGCTTAAGGAACTAAAACACTCTCAGATCTTGCTCTCCTCTTTTCTCCATTCTGCTTTGTGTTGGTTCATTCTCTCCTCCTGCAAATAGGCTTTTTCCAAGCAATAGGAAGTTTGGCTTCCCCATTTTTGTCAGCATAGCAATTGAAGCATCTACAAAGTTCCATGAAAAATTCCATTTGGCACAGCCCAGATCATATAGGTACCCTTGTATTCAAGGAGTTGGTCTCCATTATCAGAAATGTGGGGAGAGCACAGGCATGATCATTGGGCAAAACTTTGCAGGCCAGGTGACTTGCCCAATTTGTATCAAGTGCATTTTAATAACTTGAAATATTTAAAAAAAAATTCTGATTACAAAATGAAGGCTGTGTTTAAAATACAGAAACTTCAAAAAGGAAAAAGGAGTGAAAAAACTCCCAAAATCCCACCACTCAACTGATAGCCATTGTTAGCCTTCCATTCTTTTAATGCTTTAAAAAAAAATCCCACACATACAACTTCACTTGCTGGTTTTTTCACTTTAACATTATAACATATACATTTCCCCTAGTCAAAAAAAAAAATCCTTGAAACATTGCTTTAAATAGCTATATAGCATACTTTGAAAACTTTTTAACCACTTCATTCAGAAGGAAAGAAGGCAGTGGAAAGACATGACATCTTTCCTACATGTGTGTCTGTCCTCAGTCCCCTATGGCAATTTCAGTTCATAGGACTGAATTCCAACTGCAAGGGCAAGGCCACCATTCTGGAACTCTCCCCTCCCCCATTTCCTGCATTCCCCCAAACACTTTCAAACTTGTGTCATCCACACTCATTCCTCCTCTGCTCCATGCTCAGAGGACTTGCTACAAATCTGGCTAGTGGATCAGTCAAATGCTTGAGGTTTGAATCCTGACACTTGTAGCTATGTAATCTGGGAAATGTATTTTACCTCTCTATCATATGTAGGTCAGTCTGATGGTAGTTGATTACACAACCCCCATCACCCCCCACTGCTAAATTCAACTGGCTAAAAAAGATAAAGTACAATAAATATATGTGTAAAATGGGTTTTTGTCAGAGTTCTTATAAGGATTAAAGGATATTATATATATAAAACACTTAGCACATAGTAGGTGATAATGATAGCAAAAACAAAAAACAAAGAAGATTCTCTTCTAGCTATAGCCCTCTCCTCCCTTTCTGTTTCAGCCATGCTTCTTGAAAATGATTTGTACTTGCTGTCTCTAGTTCCTCATATCCCATTTACATCCTAACCCACTGTAATCTGGCTTTTGTTCTCCTTCTACTGACACTGTTCAGCAAAGATCTAATGAACTCTAGATGTCTTCGCTGAGCTTTGAATCATTTCTTAAACTTTTCTGTATTTGTAACAGTTAATCAGTTCCTCCTTCAAACTTCTTTTTCTGGTCTGCATGACACCAGATTCCTCCCAATTTTCCTAACTCTCAGAACACTTCTTATTCTCCTTTGTTGCCTGCACTGTCCTTTAGTTAGTATTTGTTCTCAACTTTCATTTCTCTGGGACAAAAAAGCACTGTGCTTTGCTGTGAGAGCTGAGTTGGAATTCTGGCTCTGCTACTTACTAAATAGAATTCCTAAGTTATATAACTCCCTTGAGCCTCCATATCTCACCTACGAAAAGGTAACTCCTCTCCTGGATAATCATCCTAAATTCAGTCGTTGTATACTGAACCTGTATTTCCCACTTGGCATAATGGATTAGTAGGCATAAATTGGAATTCAAGCCTGAAAACCCATTCATACCATAAAAATGTCAACACTCAAACAAATATATGTTCTTCAAAATATTTATTAACCATATAAAACTAAACAATATAAATTATGATATGTTACTTTGAGGTATTTTTCTTCATGGGCTGGACTGGCCAAGATTTCATAGACTCCTAGATTAGTGAAGTTTGGACAGAACATACCATCTTTTCCTGGTAAATCTTCCTAGAGCGTACATAGATATTTTTCCTTATTCCAGAGACCTTTGAACTGCATTGAAAATTAGGGTCATCTGCCACAAAGAAAAAGAAAGTTCAATGATGTTCAGAAGAATGCTTCTTAAAGTTTTTGAAAGCTAAACGTTGGGAAAGGGACAGTTTCAATAATGTCTTACTCTTCCATTTTTATAAGAATCTACTTTGCTGAGCTTCTGAAACATTTCTAACAATACTACCAGGTTTGTAGGAGAAACTTCTAGATCCACACATGCTGCAATGTCAGTCAGTTTCAGTGATGCTTTTAAACGTTACTCAAATACCTTCAAAAATACTAAATGAGGCAGTTTCCTCCAAATTCCTAGATCCAGGCTTCACTTATGATTTTCACAATATTCAAAACATTTTGAAAATTCTTTTTTGATCCATCCTCCTTGTTGATTGCTTTAATTGGCCTTTGAAAATTTGACAAAAATACTTCAAGGATGCAATAACTTATTTGATCTGTTGGCTAAAGTCAGTGAAATGCTTTGATGAATTGGGAAGGAAGAGAAACTACTTTAGTGTCAGGAAGTTGCTGCTTAAAAATTGGGAGACAGCGTGAAGCATTACCCAAACCCAGCTGTTATGAATTTTTAAAAATGCCATCATTTCTTGACCTCTCAATCAGTACAATGAAAATCAAAGCTTGAGAATTAGCTCTTCAAAAGATATTACTTCATTAATTAAAGGGTACTGCTCTTAGGGGCTGGCCGATTAGCTCACTTGGAAGAGCATGGTGCTGTCATGGGTTTGGATCCTCATACTGGCCAGTTGCAAAAAAAAAAAGGGTACTGCTCTTGGATTCTTGGCAGGATAAAGTTAAGGCAACAGTTTCAATTTGCTGTCATCTGCAATATGTGATTCTTCCTACCCAACTTCACAGTCAATATTTAAAATTTTTCTTCCTTACCAAATTCAACTTTCTAAAAAAATTTTTTTTAAGTTTTATCAATGGTAAATACCTACCCCAAACACTAACAAACGTTTGCATTTTAATTAAATTTTCTGGAAAATTCTTCAACCCTTCAATATAAGCATTTATAGCTTCCCCCAACTCTGATGTTTTAACAAGTTCTCATTCTTTTCAACAAAAACAAAAACAAATTTTCTGGAAAATTCTTCAACCCTTCAATATAAGCATTTATAGCTTCCCCCAACTCTGACGTTTTAACAAGTTCTCATTCTTTTCAACAAAAACAAAAATTGTTCAAAGTACAGTATTCCTATCTAATGAAATCCCCATTCTCTTGTTTCTATCCACAATGGGGTCCTAGTTTAGGTCCTGACTCCTACCTGCATTACTACTATTATGGCCTGGAAACTACTCTGAACATTCATTCTCCAATCTACCACTAGCCTTTCTATGTATGGTCTTTTAACAATCACTCTACCTTGCACAATCGCTCCAAGATAGCATTTACCACATTTTATTGTCATTATATATTTACATAGGTTTCCTCTATACTATCCTAAGTCCCTAGTGGGCAAAGATTATTTCTTACTGGTCTTTCTTTGGTCTACCAGTTAGCACACAGAAGGAACTCAACAAAAAATATCTTATGTTGAATATGAGCCCAACTCTCACATTAGGTTTCAGATGGCTGAAGAATTCCCTCTTTGAACACCAGATACCAGATTTCTCCTTAATCTTTAAAAGTATGTGAAAAATTTACTTCAAATCTTGATGAAAAACATCTGAATTTTTCTTTGAAGCTAGGGCACTAGAAAAGTGCACTTCAGTAACTTAGAGATGAACACCAATTGTTATACTCTCTATAACTTTGTCTTCAGTGGCTACTGAAATATGTAAATTGCCTGCTTTAGTCCATACAGCTTTCTAAGTTTTGTCTAATTTCCCTATCTGCATCAATTCATCTCACACCTCTAAAGTTTGCTTTTTAAGATACAATAAACTAAAATAATCAAGCTTGTTAGAAATGTTTATAGCAGAAAGAAATAGACCCTAATCAAGAGCCTGAAGATGTACCCATGATCAAAGCACAATGATCTCACATCTATTTTTATCAGCTCAAAGGCCATCACTGCTCTCTCTGGTTCTAATCTACGTCAAAAAAAGATGTCACAGTAGAATTAGCATTGTTTATCTCTTCAATTTGCACTTATTTCTTAAAAATCCTGCCTAGTTTGGTGAGAATTAAAACCCTTCCTACTTTAAAGCTCTCTTCTTGACTCAGTCCAAATTAGAAAGTCATGAGTCATATCCATTATATTCACCTAATAATCTGAAGCTACTTTAAATTACATTATACATTTCTTGACAAGTCATATGCATAATATGCAATGTGATATAATAATATTAAGTATTTTATAATGACAAAAAATATCAAAGTTGATGGGTAAATTTTCTTGAATCCCAAATGTAACTAATGTGGACTAAAACCCATCAATAAATAGTCAATAAGTTTCATAGTCCATCAAAAATATACTCTGCTTTTAGTGGACTAAAACCCATCAATAAATAGTCAGTAAGTTTCATAGTCCATCAAAAATATACTCTGCTTTTAGTGGACTAAAACCCATCAATAAATAGTCAGTAAGTTTCATAGTCCATCAAAAATATACTCTGCTTTTAGTGGACTAAAACCCATCAATAAATAGTCAGTAAGTTTCATAGTCCATCAAAAATATACTCTGCTTTTAGTGGACTAAAACCCATCAATAAATAGTCAGTAAGTTTCATAGTCCATCAAAAATATACTCTGCTTTTAGTACTTTATATATCTTATATTCTACATTCTACAATGTAGTAATACAGATAAAATAGAAAACAGGTACCACAAAGATTTAGACAATTAAGGTAAGCTCAGAGTGACTTTTAATATACCAATCAATGTTAATAAAACACAAGTCAAATAGACAAGTGCAAACATATCTTAAACCAAAATTAATTAGAAAACAAACAATAAACAAATTCTATTTTTGGGGGGGGCAACATATGTTAGCCGATATTATTAGTCAAATGGCTAATCACAGATAAAAATTTGGAATAGTCAGAAGTCATTCTGGCATTTCAAACAGCTATGTACAGTATTACCAAGATGAGTTTATATATACAAATACTGAGGAGAAAGCAGGCAAAACATTTAAAAACAGACTAACAATACAATTAAGTACAAAACTTGGGAGGAGAGAGGAAACATTTTTAAAAAGAGCCAGAGAAGGACATTATCAGAAAAAATTACAAAACCAGTAATAATTATACTACATTAATACAGCATTCCAAAGGGGGGGAGGTGCATTTTTCCAACGCACTAGCTTCAAAGTTCAAAGAAAAAAAAAGGCAAACAGCTGCTTTTCATCATGATCAGCTATATACATTTCACATAATTGTTTCAAAAAGATAGCCTATTAAAAACGATGATTGTTTAATGCTACAATTTTACAGCAAAGACAAAACTAAGATAGCAGCAAATTCACAAGGCAATACTTCCACAGAATTATCATTCTGTGGTTCATGCAATGCCTACAAAGTGCTCCCAGTTGGATATACAAGTATAATTCACAATTAAAAAATAAAAAAGAAATATAAGATTGACACACAGGTACATTGAAGGCTGAGTAGTACTGTCTTTTAGTATTTCCCTTTTCAAAGGGAGAATATGTTTGTAATAAAGCCCTTGAGTCCTTTTTACAGGTGACTACAAGGAAAAATACCTTTTATTACAATGCAACAGCAATCTATAAGCAGCACACCACCACAGTGGTTAACCCTGGAAAGGCTGGTGTAACATCCAACAGTGACTGGCATCCTCCAGAAGACAGAAAGGTAAGACTAGATGAAAGCCTGATATAACAATGGGTTGTCAAAATACAGCATTCAACTGTAATTCACAAATAAAAGTCCTAAAAAGTATTTCAGTAAAACTACTGACACCAATCAAGACAATAATTGCAAACTGGATTCTAGCAGTGATTTCAACCTAGCTTCCTCTTGTCACAGTTTTTTGGGGGAGGTGGGAAATGAGTAGTTCAGTATATAGTAAGGCTGACAGAACGGTTCATTTTCTTTCCAATAAGTCGAGATGTTCTATTACTCTGGGTGGTGGATCTAGTGGCCATCCGGTCAGTGAAGAGTGCTCTTTCCTCAGCTGCAGCTTTTGCCATCTGGGCTTTCTTGAGTTCCCTAAAAACATAAAAATAGAAAACAAGACTTTTCACCTCATATATTAATTCTAGGAACAGATCCTAAGAGGCCAAACGCAAACTGTAGTATCAATTGGGAGATATTTGCATGCCATCGTTATCCTCAGATGTAATGTGAAACTTCAGCTTCTACACAAATAAACCTATAAAATGATTTTATTTTGTGCTTTTGGAATTAAAATATCATATACACTTGGACAAAAATAACAAAGATGCTAGTAATGACTTTGAGACTTAAAAAATAATTTCAAATAAAATTCCAATTTATGTTGTGAATCTATCTTTACATAACAGAAACAAAAGGAAAACTTTACTTCCTGTTTGTATAAACTATGATGAGTATCAAACCAGTGGCAAATACACCTTTTAATATTTAATATAAAATTTGTATAAGTTAAACATTAAATCTTAAAATTTAATATAAAGTACTTTCAAGTCAGTTTTATTAGGTTAAAATCAAAATGGCAGCAATAAATCGAAAGATTAAGAAATGTGATCTATGGTTATTTACTAAATACTCTCCAATATTTCTCCCCTTTTGATAAGACTTTATCATTGCAACCAGCTTGCCAAAAATGTCAAAAGTCATTCAGGTCAAATATGAGAGTCAAGAACTAAACTAATTGACATTAATTTCATCCTTTCATAAAATAAGTAGAACAGAACACTACAAGAAAAATGTTAATATGTGGTGAGAGTCTGGGAAGAAAAAACTGGTACAGGGTCACTTAGTTTTTACTACAAGTTAGGGCTTGGGGACTATTACCACTTGTAAACATATGCTAGTCTTAACATTTTTAAAGTTCATAATTTCAAGGTTTAGAAACAACACAAATACGATAGGTCAAATACTAATTTAAGGCAGAAGTCCCCAAACTTTCATTGTATAACATACAAACTGCTCCTTTGTTGACAGAAAGCCTAAATCACCCCTCTTTAAAATTTGGGAACTTATGAGAACAAGAAAGTAAAAACAAAAACAAAAAACCCTCACTTACTTCTGTAAAAGTGAATTTTTGAACTTTTCAGCATTCAATTCTATTCGTAACTGTTCTGCACTCTTTCTAGAAGCAGATAGCAATACTGAATGCTTTACCAGTGCCATTGCTGAAGGTCTTCTCTCTGCATCTGGATGAATCATAACCTTAAAAAGAGAAGTAAACTTAGGGTAAAGATACGTAATTTAGTACAATATTGAACAGTGTCAATAAAGTGTTTCATATACAAAACACTCACTTTCAGCAACTCTGTAAATTCTTGGGAAAGCACTTGTGGTATCCGAGGTAATCTACCCTGTCTGATTTCATGCCACTGGTCTCCATTTCTGGGAAGAGGTTCAGCACCAGCAGCACATACCACTGTGAGGGCAAGGGCAAAAATGTCCGCTTTTGGTAGATGGGTATAGTTCTGCAAAAATTTTTTTAAAAATTATTTTAAGGAAATGTAAAAATGTTCACTATAAAACAAGACTACTCAGTGATGACTTAGGTAAGAAATAGGACTAAATCAAAATATTCAAACCACATTTAAGTTTAGAACCTATTCAGAAAATAAGCTGAATTTGGGGAGATTTCTTCATTTTTTAAATTACAAAGTAATATACATTCTCAGGGGGAAATCTATTTATTTATTTTTATTTAAACATTTATTTGTACATATTTGGGAAGTACAGTGTGTTGTTTCAATACAGGCTTATACTGTATATTGATTCACTTAGGGTGGCTGGCATAGCTTTGTACCCGTTAATCTACCACTTTCCTCAGAGGAAAAAATTTAAATACACATCTAGAAGTAAATTCCTGTTCTTTAGCACTAGCCCAATTCACCTCTCAGAAGAAACTCCTATCCCTCTAGGGGTTCACATGAAACACAAAACACACTTGCACAAGCACACTGATAAGGCAGACAGGTGTGTGTGTGTGTGTGTGTGTGTGTGTGTGTGTGTGTGTGTGTGTGTGTGTGTGTGTGTGTGTGTGTGTGTGTGTATAGAGCAATGGGATCATACAGTTACACTTTATATTGTTCTACTTATTTTATTCATTCAAAACTGTTATCAAAAAAACATTTTCTTTTACACTTTTTGAAACTATGAGCCATAATTAATCATTCTTTTACTAGTAAATCCTTATTTACGTTGTTCTCAATTTGTGTTTTATACGAATTTTCTTTCTTTCTTTTCTTTCTTTTTTTTTTTTTTTGGCGGGTTGCCAGTATGGGGATCCAAATCCATGATCCTGGTGTTATGAGGCTGCTCTCTAACCAACTGAACTAACTGGCCAGCCCTTGAATTTTCTATAGGTGAAACTACTAGGAGTATAAATTCTGAGTCAAGGGGTACATGATTTTTAAATTTTGATAGATACTAATACTTTTATCT